TAGCGCTGTGGATGGCTAGTTCAGAGCTACAAGTGGGGCCTATCGATAAGCTAAAGTAATTATCCAACATGCTGTCAGTAGGTACCCAGGACAACGGGTGGGCAGTAATTGATAAATATTCATCCATCCGGCCCTGACCAACGCGACGCATCGCCAATTCCCGATTTTTCCAGCCTGCACGCGACTACCAGCTGGAGCGGTCCAAGATGCCTCCCGCAAAACGGCAGAAGAGCAGCATCGATGCGCGGCCAAATATCCTGTCAGGCCGGCCAACGGTGGAGGATCTCGAAGGCGAGAGCGAGTTTGCGACACTGGCAAGACAGCACTGGTTGGGCACGCCACGGAAGTCACCCGACGACGTCAAGGTCAAGGTCAAGAACGAGGTGCTGAAGAGGGAGATATGGGACACGCTGGAGAAGGAAAACTTCCCCCTCAAGTCCCTGCTGGTGCTCGAGGGCCTGCAGACATTGGAAGGGTATCTATGGCCAGGCTACACCGAGGATTCATCAAATTACCACGTCCTCCTAATCGTCCTCATAGTCAATGCGAAGCGAAGAGAGCGGTTCGACACGTGGGACCTCTTCAGCGGCCGCCCCGCCGACTTCTCAGACCTCTTCCGACGCGCCCTCTCCATGACCCTCGACGATTCCCTCTCCTGGACCATCAAGACCCACGTCCTGCTGTTCATCATCCACGCCTTTCAAAGCCTTGACTGCACCATTGTCAGGAAAGAGTGCGCACCCCTTGTCTCCATTTCCATCTGGCACAACCTGTCGACCGACGACAAACGCGACGCCATTCTCGATTCAACCGCACAGCTGAAGAAGGCCTGGAGGGCATCGTCAAAGAGATACGATGCCGCAGATGATGCTACGAAAGCGCGTCTCCGCTTCGAGAGGTCATGGCTGTACACCTCCGTTCTCGAGTTCCTCAACCTCCTTTACACCGCCAACCCCAGCCAGGAACAAGTGCTATACTGCGAGCGCTTTGTCGAGTTCCTGACTGATCTTCAGAGTCAACTCCCAACGAGGCGCTATGTCAACACTCTTCTCCAGGACCTCCACGTTCTTCCGGTCCTGACTCTCTCCCCAATGTATCAGGATGAAGCCAATGGACTCTTGCGCGACCTAGCCTCCTTGTTCTCCCACTACACGCATTTTACGGTTGATGACCAGACCGGTGCCCAGCTCAGCAGGACCGAGGCATATGACCGGCATTGTAACGACCTCGCAAAGTTGCAAAGAACAGCGTTGAAGCACTTCAAAGACAAACTGACCGTCTTGGCACTATCGAACTACGGCTCCATCGACCAGAGGGAGGAACTTGAGGGGCTCCTGGAGGTCTTGACAGACGCCGAGTTGGAGGAGCTGTCCCGGCTTCTGGGGCTCCGAACCAGCTACCCAGGCTCCGCCGCGGTACCCATAAATCGAAGATTCTTCATGGAAGTTTTGCTCTCCTCGTTTGAGCGGAGAAAAACGTTCCAGGAAGCGGCTGGCGAGCTAAGCGTTTTCCCCACCGACGAGTCTCTCTTCGAGGTTGGCCTCAGGAGAACCGACCACTATGACGGATCTCGGCCTCTTGCTCTTCCAAAGCTCAACCTTCAGTACCTTTCCGTGGGCGACTTCCTTTGGCGGTCCATGGTCCTGTACCGCTGCGAGTCTTTCTACGCCATTCGGCAAGATATCGAGGCCGTCTTGTCTAGGATGAAGCCTGAGGTCGGGCGTTCGGGGGAGACGGTGTTTGCTGGTTCCTCGAAAATGGCATTGCCGATCAGCAAACCAACCATTCTCGAGGTTGTCCCACCGCTTGTGGGCGACAACAAGCCCTCGACGGTGCGGGCCGAGATCAATATAGATCTGAAGAGGCTTCCCCAGCACGCGCGACGGGAGTGGGAATCTTTGCGCCCTGATGACGTACTTTTCCTGCTCGGTGTTGATGCTTCAAAATCAAAGCAGCAGTCCAATGGAGGTAGCTCTCTCACGGAAGCTGAGAAGTTGGGTCTGGTCTCGGTTCGAGCTGCAGAAATCATCCAAATATTTGATGACAAAGGAAATGCAATCAGAGATGCTCAGGCTTACTTTGGCGGCCATCACCGCGGCCACACAAGGAGGTTGCAGCTCCGATTGGATGCAAAGGCATTCAAGGAGGACACCGAGGCGCACAGGAATATCTACGATGGGATCAATCTTCTTGTACGACGAGCCGGTCGGGAGAACAACTTCAAGCCCGTACTGGAGTCGATACAAGATCTGACCCTTTCCGATGTTCCTCTCGCCCCCTGGCTGCACGAGGTCTTCCTTGGTTACGGCGACCCCGCCGGTGCTACATATAAGCAGCTTGCGAATCGCCTTTCAAAGGTCAACTTCCGCGATACCTTCCTGGATTGGCAGCATCTCATCGAGAGTCTGCCAGGCAAGATTGTCGAGCCTACTGATGAGGTCTCGGCGAGCTTCGGTCCGCCATATGTCCTCAGGACGATGGAGAAAATGGAAGTTGAGGAGACTACTACTTCAAAACCGTCCAAGAAGAGGAGACGGGATGCGGAACCAGCCTTGATTGCTGATATCGAGACACTTCAAGTGTCGACGTACAAGCCACCAAACAATGGGCCGTATCCGGTTGATGCACCAAAGCTGAACACCGTTCGCTTCACTTCAACACAGATCGATGCCATCATCTCCGGGACGCAGCCAGGCCTCACAGTCATTGTTGGGCCCCCGGGAACAGGAAAGACGGATGTGGCCACCCAGATCATCAACAACATCTATCACAACTTCCCGGAACAAAAGACTCTCCTCATCGCACATAGCAACCAGGCCCTGAATCAACTCTTTGCCAAGATTGTCGCTCTCGACATCGACGAGCGGCACCTTCTCCGGTTGGGTCGCGGTGAGGAAGAATTGGAAACCGAAGCAAGTTTCAGCAAGCACGGCCGAGTAGAGTCCTTCCTTGAAAACCGCCAGCGCTTTCTCTACGAAGTGAACCGCCTAGCAGCCAGCATCGGCGCGCCGGGGGCTCACGGGAACTCAGCCGAAACTGCGGGCTACTTCAACTCGGTCTACATCGAGCCAGCGTGGGCGAAATTCAACCAAGTCGTCAAGTCAGAAGACGTCACTCCGGAAGTCATTGCCCAAGTATTTCCGTTTCACAATTATTTCTCCGACGCGCCTCAACCCCTCTTCCCTCCTGGGTCAGACCGCGGGACCGTTCTAGAGATCGCCAACGGGTGTTATCGACACATCTCCAAGATCTTTTCGGAGCTAGCCGACGTTTTACCTTTTGAGATTTTGCGAAGAGATAAAGACAAAGCCAACTACCTGCTCACCAACGAGGCCCGCATCATAGCCATGACTTCCACCCACGCGGCCATGAAGCGCGGGGAGATCGCTGCCTTGGGGTTTCACTACGACAACGTGATAATGGAGGAGGCAGCGCAGATTACTGAGATTGAGAACTTTATTCCTTTGGCCATGCAGAAACCTGGTAAAGACGGACAGCTATCCCTGCAGCGGGTCGTGTTGTGCGGCGATCACTACCAGAACTCTCCAGTGATCCAAAGTCTCGCGTTTAGGCACTACGCCAATCTGGAGCAATCGCTATTCTCCCGCCTCGTCCGTTTAGGTGTCCCCGCGATCACTCTAGATCAACAGGGCCGCGCCCGCCCTTCCATCTCATCACTCTACAAATGGCGATACCCCCGCCTTGGGGATTTACCGCACACGCAAAGTCAAAAGGAGTTTTTGACGGCCAACGCGGGATTCAGGTGGGATTATCAATTTATCAACGTTCCCGAGTACAAAGGCCAGGGCGAGAGGGAACCTACGCCGCACTTTATACAGAATCTTGGCGAGGCAGAGTATGCGGTGGCCGTGTACATGTACATGAGGTTGTTAGGGTACCCCAGGGAGAAGATTACAATTTTGGCAACGTATGCGGGGCAGAAGGCTTTGATTAAGGATGTTTTGGGGCATAGATGCGTGGGAGCTGGCAAGGGTGAGGTTTTTGGGATGCCCAGGACGGTGCAAACGGTGGATAAGTATCAGGGCGAACAGAATGATTGTGAGTTTTCCTTTTTTGGTTTTTTTTTAACCTCCCAAACATTTTGACTTGGAGTTTGAGACTAACCGATAGCCGATAGATATCATTCTAAGCTTGACGAGGACTTCGAGAGTCGGGTACCTAAGGGACATCAGACGCTTGACCGTGGCGTTGTCCCGTGCCAAGTTGGGATTATACATCCTTGGACGGAGGGAAGTGTTTGAGGCGTGTTATGAACTGAGGGAAGCGTTTGAGCTGTTGTTGAAGCGACCGGACAAGTTGACGCTGGTTACTGGAGAATTGTGGCCCAGCGAGAGGATCTTGGCCGATGAGGAAGGCAAGGAAAATGTGGAAGGGGAGACTGTTATGGAGGGGGTGGAACATTTGGGACAGTATGTGTTTGAGATGACCAAGACTAGGGTTGAGGAGCTGAAGAGGGCGAGGGGTTTGATCGCTGAAGTCCCGGTTGCTGGGCCGGATGGTGAAGAAGTTGGTGGAGATGTGGAGGACATGGTGGAGGGAGAGGGAGTAAAAGGAGGGGAGCAAGAGGAGGTTGATGATGATGAGGAGGAGGGCGGCGTGAGGGTTGAGGGGTTTGAGGCTGAGGAGGAGTAAAAAGTAGACGGCCTGGACAGGGTTGTTTTGTGGGAGGAAAGGGACATGTAGATAAAAATTATGATGAATGTTTTTTTTTCCTCGTATCTTCAGTTGAGCCGTATTGAGGATGATAAAAGGTAGAACCTTGTTTTCATCTGATGACATTCTTGCTACGTGCTATTCAACATCTGACTATAACTAGTTTGGTGTCCCCCCTTTTTTTTAAAGGTAGTCCTTTGGGTTAATCCGTAGGTTGATAGAAATCAGGGGGTAAAACGAAAAGGAGAGAAATAAAGAGTTGCATTTATCTATTTACTTATTTTGCCCTGGAATACTGGGAGGAGTGTTCGCAGCGTTTTCAAGAATGACCCCCGACCCGATTTGGAACGGTTATATAACCTTTCGATCTGGAGTCGAACGCGCTAATCAAGGCGCCACGAGGCCACTTTTTTTTTTTTTTTTGGGTAATGTTGCGGTAAGGGTGTTATGAGGTTTCAAGTGAATCGTGGGCAGGAGAGAGATGGGTAGATGTGTTTTGTGGTTGGCTGTGTGGTGGAGATGTGGGATTTGGAAGTTTGGACAGGAGGTTAGGCGGGTGCGTTTTCGAAACTAAAACGCTGGGAATCTGTCTGGTAGTAAAGACATATATAATTCAAGAGAAGAAGAGGGGGGGGGATATTATCATAGGAGTAAGTTGAAGCGAGAGAGAGAACTCGAAAAGGGGGTTGACAGGGATGCAAAAGTGTTGACCGGGTGAATGCACTCACACTTGAAATAGGATAAATAGGACCTCCTCCAACATCTGATGGCCTCGTGGCGCAACGGTAGCGCGTTCGACTCCAGATCGAAAGGTTATCCGTTCAAATCGGGTCGGGGTCAAAAGATTTCTTTTTGTCCTTTTTCCCGGGGTGAACGGCTAAAGTCCAAAACTCTTATTAGTTCTTTGGTATTGTTCGCTTTCAATTCTAAATTTTATACATATCACACACATTACAATTACACACATTACACAAACATGTGTTGATATATGTGTAATTTGACACTTGACCGTCACGCAGGTGCGGTGATGGGGCTGGTTATTAGTTATTAGACGTCGAACTTGTAATATGTAGCAGCCAAGAGAAAAAGAGATAAGGGAAAAGAAAGCCGTTAAGATGCAATGCATGGAGGAGGGGCCACCACCACAACACATCGTACAATACATATGTAGGGTGAGTCAGTTGTCAATGGCGCTAGGAAGCAATGTGCAGGTGGCGAATCGAATGTGATGATTCTGGGCGATGCTTTTGGGCAGTTGGGTATTGATTTTCTTTGCCCCGTCGGGGAAGATAGATGATGCCCAAGCAAAGAAGCACCTTCGGCCCGTGCGCTCCTTTGCCCACGGTTACACTATAAGTATCGCCTCTCCGTAGCTCACGAATCCACCGCTTGGCCAGAAGAGTAGGGATGAGATTGGTCCTGAATCCCCCCAATGACGTCTTTTGGCCCTAGGGAGTATACTGATGCATCCCAACTTTTTGGACTTTTTGTCAGCCACGTCGCCTGCGTGGTCGAGCAGAAATTCCCGGGCAAATTCAAGCGCCCATACTTTATGCAAAGAAGGCTTCCACCGGTTCTTGGGGGGTTCTGTTGCACAAAGCCCACAGGTTATATGCCCTTCGATATTACCGGGAAGAGAATAACAAAAAAAAAAAAAAAAAAAAAAAGAGGTTAGACCGTATTCCGGGAGAGACCACCTATTGGCAGGTCAAAACATAGCTCTTGGGATCGCCGTCGTCGTCTCTTTTTTTAAAGAACACCAAAAGAGATGGCAGCAGATGCAATGCATGCAAAGAAAATCCATACGAGCACCATGGGACGAAGACCTCAGGATTGTTTGGTAGGCAGGGGGGTCCCACCGCAGAGCATCCACAATCCGCCATCCGGGGAGCCTGTTTACTGAAACAGAGTCCGTGTATCTATGGCAGGTACTGTCCGAGGGAGGGAGGACCAGCTCTCTTCTTTGAAGCCCGACGAGGCACAATAGGAAGCTTTCTTTGAACCCCAGGTCTGCAAGTTGTCCCTCGGGCAAGACGGCCCACCCTTGGGGAACCAAAAGCAAAGTAAAGAAGACCTCCAGGTCTCGGCGTCTCCGCCAAAGGTGGACATGAGTTGATACTGTGCAGAGGGCGACAAACGGCCTTCCCATAGAAACCTCATCACGTCGGCCTTTGATGGGCGGATATTGTTAGCGAGTAAAAAAGTAATTGTGGAGTCGGGCCAGGCCACGCACAGCTTCTTTCAAAAAGATGCGGTGGAGTAATTGCCCTGGGGTGTGACGAACGCCCCACCAAATCGCACACCAAAAAAGTACCTGCGAACCAGCAAATCAGGCACTCTGCTGCAGTTGCGGCGCCTTCCTTAACTTTTTTTGGTGTGTGCGGCGGAGATAGCAAGGTCCCCCTCCCATTCCGCCGCTATCAGAAGCGGCCTTCTTGCCCGCCCAAATTTTTTCGCTCACTTTTTTTCTCCCACATCACCAATTCCACAACTCACCCCGTGTGAAAATACCGTGGACTCGTGGAGGAAAATCGTCATTTTCTTGACGGGCTTCCTTTCCATTTCTTTTTCACAGAACCTCCCTTCCGGACATCCACGCTTCTCTACAGCTGGATCCCCCTCCAGAAGTCAGAGATTTCCCCTCAGGTTGTCGGCTTGATCCACCCCTCCTCCTCTCTTAATTCACGAGAGCGCTGTTGGGGCAACACGACACCTGCTCCATCGACATCGCAGCTTTTTGCGACCGCACCACCCACAACCCACACTCTTTATTTAGAGTTGACAACCCGAATTTTCTCGAGTGTCAGCGACCGCACGCACACTCAGAATTCAACCCGCCGGCATTTTCCCCATCGTCGCTCGACTTTTCGGAAAGCCAGCCCTCTTTTTTTTTTTCTAGTCTTTTTCGCAAAAAAAAAAAAAGAATCGGTTTTTACAACCCACGTTCGGATCTGAGATCTCGACGTCAACTAATTCGGACCGCCACCAACAACACCCTCCTCCTCCCACCTCGACAACTCTCCCTCCTCTAACCACCCTTATCCTTTCCCGCGCACTTTTTCTTCCACCGACAAGAAACACGGCTTTCGAGTCAACAGATACCACATATGACTTCTACTGCGAGTCAACCCAATCAAAACCCGGCGCCCACGACGACCCCCGCTGCTGCAGCTCCGTCGTATGCTTCCGCCGCCGGTGCGACCAAGAAGCCTACCTCAACGCCGCTGATCGCGACGGGCTCTACCCCGCCTGTTGTGGTCGGTTCGGCCGCTGCTGCCGCAAATGGCAAGCCCCCAGTCGTCTCCTCGGTGAATGGCAGACCCCCCATTACACCTGCTGTGCCTAGCGTTGCCACTCCCTCTGTTGCGCGTGGGCCGCCGTCCGTTGCGAACGGCACCCCAGCCGACCATGCCCGCAAGAGCTCAGTAACCATTAACGCTCCTGCGAGCCACATCGCCAGCAGTGGCCCCGCCACTGCCCGGCTCCCCAAATTTGGGTTCGACTCTCCGGGCCCGCAGTACAGCCAGCCACAGGGTGTTTCTTCCCCGATGGCAATTCCAGGGAACCCCAGAGTGCAGTCTCCGGCACAGTCGCCCTCACCTATCCCTCAGGTGCCTCAGCAGAGCGGTGGCCAGCGTGCCCCGCCAGGTACTCAGGCTCCGGTCACATTTGGAAGCTTCCCCGGTGACGGTGATGTAAGTCTCATTTTCTTCGTTTCAAGGTTTTTGATCCACCATCTCCTCTTTTTGCTAACCTCTGTCTCTCTCTGTTCAGCGTCACATGAAGCAGGCAATGGGCAACAGCCCCCACGTACGACGTGATTCCAATCACAACGAAGGCGGCCAGCCCTTCAACCGCAACTCCAGCTACGGTGGTGGACGTGGCGGCGGGCGCGGCAGCTTCGGCCAGCATAACCATCAGCCTCCGATGGGATACCCGCCTGCAAACAACTTCTCCCCTCAAAATGCTGGCAGAGGGGGCAGAAACTACCAGGCCCCGCCTGTTAATCGGTATCCCAGCTCGCCAGTCCCTACTGCCGCATCCATGCGTCACGCCAGCCCTGCCGGTACTCCAACCATGCAGGCGGCTACCCTTGGCGCCCCTGCTGCCCACGCGCAGCCATTCTTTCCTCAGGGAGCCATGGGCCAATATCCTCACATGCAACCAGTAAAGTCCCCCAACGACCCTATTTCTTCTTCTACTTCTTCTACTTTCAAGCCGCACAAGGGCAAGAGGGGCCAACGCCGAGACTTGGAAAAGCCTTCTTATCCTCTGCGCGGTGATAACTTCAAACAACACCCAGGCGCGGATTTCAACCCGCGGCCTAGACGTCAGAGCAAGCGGTGGGAACAGACCGGTGACCATCATCCGGAATACAACGGTGGCCTTATTCTCGAGTATCCGGATGGTCCGCCGTCGTCTAACTACCAGTTTCTCCCTGGCCGTCGTGTTCCCATGTTTCCTCCTGCTGCCTTCCTGGGATCTCTTGACTTATCACCGGAGAGCGGTACGTTTGAAAAGCTGCTAACCGCAAACAACTCACAGATGAATCCAGGCCCTTACATGAACATGGATCCCGCTTTCCGTGCTCCCGGCTTTTATCCCATGCACGGTGGTATGCCACCCTATATGCCTCAGGCTTCCCAATTTGCTCCGCAGCCATATGCCCCCCCCTATGCGCCGGCTCAGACCCAGCCGGTAGTTGCACCTGCCATGTCTCGTAATGCTTCACAGGTTTCCGATCGTGCCGGGCCCAGCGCCAGCCATACTCAGGCACCCGCGGCTAGCCAAGGCACGCCCAGACAGCAACCAACGCAACCCGTCGTGGTTTCCACGCCGTTCACCCGTCCCACGTCTAAAAAGATACTGCTCACAGATGCGAACGGAAAACCGCTCGACTTCTCTAATATCAAGGCCCCCGCGTCCCCTGCTGCCAGTATCCAGCACTCCAAAACCCCTCCAGCTATTGTTTCGACCTCTACCCCACCTCCTAAACCATCAACTGCCTCTCACACCAGGAATGAGAGCACTGCCAACTCTAGCAAGACCAAGGAGCAGATTCAAAAAGAGTTCCTCGAGAAGGTACAAATGCAGAAAGAAGCCAGTGCGCCAGTCGACTCTACTACCAAGGACGAAGAGGCCAAGGCCGCTGCTGAAAAGAAGAAGGCGGAAGAGGAGGAGGCACTCCGGGCGAAGGAGAAGGCCGACGCCGAGGCCAAGGCAAAGGAGGCCGAGAAGGCCGCTGCTGAAAAGGAGGCCGCTGAGAAGGCTGCCGCCGAGAAGGCCGCTGCCGAGAAGGAGGCTGCCGAAAAAGAGGCCGCCGAGAAAGCTGCTGCTGAGAAGAAGGCGGCAGATGAGCAGAAGCAGAAGGACAAGATCGAAGCCGAAGCCAAGGCCAAGGCGGA